CAAATGGTTAACTCCACTATGAAATGTCATTATTACGACTCCAAATTCATAGACGATGCAGATGTGATTAATGAATATGGATCGGCCATTTCACTTTTTTTACATGCATTATAATTATGTGAATTTGGTTAGTGACAAAATTACCGTATTAACATAAAATAATGGATGGTTTCAGTCATTAATCACCGTAAAGAATATCCCATATCAAAAATAAGAAAAAACCATGAGCAGCGATATGTAAAATACATAGGTCAGTCTAAAATCGCTTACTCCAAATTAAAAAGAAAATTATGACAGATATTGTAGCAATCATACTGTATTATCACTTGAAGTCAAATACGTATAATGTATTTCATTAGGAAAATAAAATATACTACGAAGAAAAATATGTATATGAACAGTTAATCGAGTAGGAAAATCTTCGGAAAAATGGATACACATTGCAAGTTGTGTGGTCCGTGAGTCTAAGTAGGTAAACCATATTGAAGTTTACAAAATTATTGCAAGATAAATTTATTGATGGAAAGCTCTATGTTGTAGGAAATTTCATATAAAGGCAAGCTATACATGTCCTACGAAAATAATTCCATTTTTTGTTGACATAAAAAAGAAGAAGTAATTCCCTTTTTCTATATGAAATGTAAATTGCACTAACAGTTAGCATTTACATTTAAGTTATGTTTGTTCAGTCAAACCAGTTTGATGAATTTAATTAGTCGTGTGTTTCTAGTGAAATCCACGTATGTCTTTATCTATATCGTTTTAATTCAAGGATAAGAACAAACCAGACGACATATCTTTTTCATTTCTTAATCATCATTACACACACATAATTTCAACTTTACATACTTTCTTTTTTGGGATTAAGGGGAAAACTTACTAATTCCCCTTCGAAAATTTCATATCCTCTCAGATAGACCCGGATAACTAATCTCGTACTACTTCTCTACAGTTGAAACAATAAACGCTTATTTCATCCTAATTTTAGGTTTTCTCGGTTAATAACAAAATCCGATCGTAAACCAAGTATACCGGTTTGTCTGACCAGATCC